GAATCTTCCATATAAAGCTCTTCCTCTGACTTTCACAAGCATGTTGTGGCATGGTCACACACACACACACACACACACACACAATGAATAAATGAATAAATAAATAAATAATAAATAATACAATAATTTTTAAAGAGGAAGCTCCAAAGAATTGAAAATTTTCTAAAGCCCAAGAATTAAATTAGGGAGCTGGAGAGATGGCTTGGCATTTTAAGAGTACTAGCTGCTCTTCCAGAGGTCCTGAGTTCAATTCCCAGCACCCACATGGTGGCTCACAACCATCTCTAGAGGGATTTGATGCCCTCTTCTGGTATAAAGGTGTACGTGCAGATAGGGTATTTGTATATATAAAATAAATAAATAAATCTTTTTTTTTTTAAAAAAAAAAAGAATTAAATTAGGCGAATTCACATGTAAAAGGTGACCTGACCTACAGGGCAACATGTTTCAGCAACTAAGCTGATTGCTGTTGGATTCCTGGAGGCAAAGTCTGGACAGAGGTCACTGGGGCATGAAGCACAGCAATGCTGGCCAAAGGAACAGGACTTTCTCACAGGAGGGCTTCAGAAGACTTACTCTTCCTATGAAGCATGACAAGAAACGCTGGGGTATTTGACAACAAATGATACGCAATGGGAGAGAAACTGGAGAGAAATACCAACACAGAAAACAACGGAGGACTAGAAAGTGCACAAAAAGTGAAAACAATAGGAAGAAAGGCAGGCTCGAGGAGAGAAGTAAGGTGCTATGGTGATTGGGACAAAGCTCCATGTCACAGGGTAGCCGCCACAAGCATAGAGAAAACAAGGACACTCAGCCATCCAGTCAGCTACAGCCATCCTCAACCAGGTCAGCCACTTCATGGGAATGGCAGTTGGCCTTCCAGGTCATTGTACTGGATTCTAGAACTGTGTGCGTGAGCAAAAACAAGGTCCTGATGGAGTGGAGTTCATATCCTACTGTCTGGGTCAGAGAAACCATCTTGTATTAGTTACTTGTCTGCTGCTGTGACAAAACCCCCAACAAGAGCAATTTAAAGAAGGAAGGGCTTTTTATAGCTCATGGCTGAAGGGGATACGGTCAACCATGGTGGGTAAGTCGTGGTGGTAGAATATGAGGCAGCTAGCTACATTCCATCCCCAGCCAGGAGGCAGAGAAGGATGAACATCGGTGCTCAGCTCCCTTTGCATCCAGCCCAAGACCCCAACCCACAGAATGGTGCCACCCACATTCAAAGTGGGTCTTCCCATTCCAATTAACTTAATTTAGAAAATCTGTCACAGATATGACCAGCGATTTGCCTCCAGGATGATTCTAGACCCTGTCAAGGTGACAATCAATATGAACCGTCAGTCACACAACCTTAGCATGACTAGTTCCACCCTGGTGCTCCTGATTAATGGAGGACCACGGACAGCGTTCTCCAACTGTGCTTGAACTCTCAAAAGCATCACCAGGAACCTGGGAGAAAAGGATCCGACAAGAAACTGAGTTTGGGGAGAGAAGTTTGGGGAGTTCAAAGAAGACTGGGTCTGTGTGGTCAGGTCTAGGCAAGGAAGGAGACGGTGGGATGAGGAACATTGTTGAGAACTGGGTGGTAGTAACTTTTCCAAGCCCACTCCAGGCACTCCTCCTAAAACAGGAAACTGAAGTGAGGAAAGAGAGCTGAGGAGTGCCTAATAGTCAAAGGAGAACTCATCCCCTTGCCATGCTTTCTCACCCACTGGGAAGTTGCTAGTAGAAGTACTATTCTGTATCCCTCCCCTGAGCACAACCCATCAGCATCTACTCAGAGAGAGTCACATGCATCCCCTCTAAAGCAAGAACAATGCTCTATGTAAGAAAGGAGATCCAGCCACCGGCCTCAAGGGAAATCAGCAGATTGAGAGTGGACAAGTAAGTACTAGACTTAGACACATCCCAGTACAGTCCCACACTTAATGGAATAAACCAAATGGTGCTGTTTATGGGAAGGTCTTTGGCCTGGAAGTATCTCCCATTCACCGTTTGAACAGCCAATGTCCAGAGAAGTTCTTGGATTAAAAAGAAAATGTTTGTAAAGAATTGAGGCTGGAGATTGTCTTAGGTCCAAATCTTAATATGTTGATTGCTTTTAAACTGAATCCTTTTCTTGCCTTATATCTCAGCTGCAGGAAAAACCAATGGGATGTTTTGAGTGGTGGGTGTAGACACAAGAACTGCACCTCCTGCTGACAGTGTGGACACAGCATGGAGACCCCAGGAAGGGAGCACAGGAACTTAGCCATGGGTCATCTGGACCCAAGGTTAAGGAAGCGGGGTCAGGGAGAATACAGAGGCTCAGAAACTGAGGAGTGAAAGAGAAGAGTGAGAATTATTAGTGCAAACCTGGACTCCATGCAGAAATAGCATCCTGGAGGGAACCAGGGCTCTCAAATCACTTTAATAGCTTCATGTTCAGAGGGCATATGGGCTGTGCTGTTGCTGCTGTTAGCTAAAAATTCTTCAAATAAGGAAAATTCTTCCCCCTGTCTAGCTGATTTGTTTGTAGCAAAGTCTCCAGATAAGGTGGGTTTTGCTATGCCCAGCTCATCTCTGCTGCCATCAGTCATTAAGCCCAGGAAAAGGCAGAGGTTTGTAAAATGGGTTGCCTTAATCACATTACTGTCACCATGAGAGAGAAATATTGAACAATAGATACACATTGGAATGCAAAATGATTTTTCCCTAGAATTGACCGTATTTGCACAAAGCTAGTCGTCTTGTTAACATAGACCACTTTCTCTGCTTCCAGACAAAGTTTGAAAAGTTTGATTCTAATACAGCCTTCCCTGACTACTTATCTCACTGTTCATGTATACTGTTCTCTTTCCAAGAAACATGTTAGTCTAGGAGATTCGGAGAGTCCGCGAAATTAAACTTCCTAATGTCAAGTCTTAGCCCTGCCAGAGACTACCTGAATGCCCTTGGCTGAGTTACTCAGCCTCATTAAATGGCAGTTTCTTTCTTAGCAAAATAGAAATATTGATATTAAGAATGTATGTGGGCACGTGTTTATAGGCATGTACCTATGTGCATATGCTTGCATGTGTACATGCATGAGTGTAAAGGTCAGAAGGGAACTTTGGGTCTTGTTTCTAAGGCACTATCATCCACTTTGTGTGTGGAGGAGGGGGAAACAAGGTCTCTCACTGGTCTAGAACTCACTAAGGAGGCTAGGCTGGTTGACCAGAAAGCCTCAAGGATCCACCTGTCTCCACCTCCTCAGTGCTGGGATGAGCATGTGCCACCACAGCTGTATTTTTAATGGGAGTTCTAGGTACCAAAGTCAGGTCCACATGCTTGCAAGGCAAATATTTTACTGACTGAGCCATCTCCTCAGCCCAGAAGTCATGTAACTCACAATATTACTAATAATAGTTCAAATCTATGCAAAAAGTTAAGTGCACTGCCTGACTCAAGACAGATAGTTGGTGGCTCTAAATTTTGTTTTAACAACTAGACAGACTGAAAACTTGGAACCTGAAGAATAAAACTTCCTCAGCTGTATGGTTTTCAAAGTAAACACCTGTCACCCTGTGTGTGTCTGTGATTTCTTTGAGACATGTTGAACTTGACAAAATTTGTGTTTTGGTGATAAATGTTCCCATCATCCACTGCAGCATTCTGTCTGTTTTGACTTCTATGGAATGTGAGTTTTGTCTCTGACTGAGTTCAGGATACTGTTGGCTGGAGCAGTCTGTAAGAGCATCCAGCATGCGGGCCATGTGTCCTGACTCTGATGGGTCTGCAGCTCAGAGGGAAAGAGAAACCAAAAAAATCAAGACCATAGTCTTCCCAGCATAGATAGAGAAGGTGGCTCATGAAATCCCACTCTCAGCTGAGGGTCCTTCACCACCTGATGGCTGCTAGAGGAGGCAGAGGATCAGTTTTCTTCAGGAATGCATCCCCAGATGGGCTGCTCCTGCTCCAAAGCACATTCAGAACTGAGTGGGCTCAGTGAGGTAAAGGAAGAGTACATGAAGTTGGGAGGGGAAAGAGGTGGGGATAAGGGAGAAATCAGAGGGGAGGATGTCTGGGTGGATCTGATCCAAACACAGTATATGCATGTGTGAACTTCTCAAACAATAAATTAAAATAATAATACTAAAGACCATAGGCTGAAAGAAAGGAAAAAGGTTGTGTGGGACCGTGAGGAGAACTCTCACTCAACCTCCCACTTTCTTCAAAAACGGAAGCCCACGGGTGCCATAAGACTTCCCAAAGCCACTCGCCTGAGTGGACAGAAAACTATTCCAGGTGTCGAGGAAAGAAAGGAGAGAAGCTCAAGAGTGAGAAGGGGGAAGGGAAAGACCATGAAGCTCTTCTTCCTCTGAAAGGAGTAAGAGCGACCTTTGGGGGTACATAAAATCATACTATGCCTTTTCAAGGAGCTAGTAAATGTCTAGGGAGGAAAAATAAGGAGTGCTGGGCTGGACAGTCTAGCACCTTCTGCTCACAGAGGATATGACTGGGTAATAGCATTTTTATTCTCTCTATGTAACAGCTCTGGCTGTCCTGGAACTCACAGTGTAGACCACGCTGGCCTCGAACTCACAGAGATCTGCCTGCCTCTGCCTCCCGAGTGCTGGGATTAAAGTCATGTGCCATCACTGCCCGGCTGGGGTAATCGAATTTTAATGTGGATGTGGGTTTGAATGTTCCCCTGTCTTATTTTATAACTCAGGCAAAACCGTGTGTCTAGACTTTACCAAAAATGGGTTGCTGCACTCTCTAAGACTTGAGGAGGCCGAAAGATGATTCTCTACAACTGAGAGAGGGAGCTGGTACAAGTCTATCTGTCTGAAATAGTCTTTGAAATCATAACAAAGGGGTTACCAGCAAATATGAAACACTTGCATGCATCTGGAAGCTTTTGAAACTCTTTACAGATATAAAAAGATGCGTGTTGGTTTGTAGTTCCAGCTGATTGGCCTCTTGACTGGCCAATCACACGTGTAATCCTTTGTGTTCTCTTTCAGGCTCCTTCTTCCCGGACTTCAAGCCCTCGGAAACCGTTTTCAAAATCGTATTTTGGCTTGGGTACCTAAACAGCTGCATCAATCCCATCATATACCCATGCTCCAGTCAGGAGTTCAAGAAAGCCTTTCAGAATGTGCTGAGAATCCAGTGTCTGCGCAGAAGGCAATCCTCTAAGCATGCCCTGGGCTACACCCTGCACCCGCCCAGCCAGGCCCTGGAAGGGCAGCACAGAGACATGGTGCGTATCCCCGTGGGTTCAGGAGAGACTTTCTATAAAATCTCCAAGACAGATGGAGTCTGTGAGTGGAAGTTTTTCTCTTCCACGCCCCATGGATCGGCCAGGATTACAATGCCGAAGGACCAATCTGCCTGTACCACAGCCCGGGTGAGGAGTAAAAGCTTTTTGCAGGTCTGCTGCTGTGTGGGGTCCTCGACCCCCAGCCTTGAAGAAAATCACCAAGTTCCGACCATTAAGATCCACACCATCTCCCTCGGTGAAAATGGGGAGGAAGTCTAAAGGCTGGGAAAGGTCACAGGAAGAGGGCTAACACTAGGTACTGCTGATTGCCACTGGGAAGGCCAGTGAGTTATTGAAGGACAAGCCAGGACCATTCAAGGAGGTCCCCATCTGGGAAAGGGGAGAGGGAGGGTACCAGCTCACGGGACAAGTGGGTAGGGCACAGGGTAAGGGGCAGGGTGTCTGGTAACTCATAGGTTCTGAATGATGCAAGGGCCATTTCCCTTCAGCTCAAACCCTCAGTCATTCTCTGATCCTGCTTTCCACAACTGACCCTTTCAACAAGAAATACCATGGGAAAGAAAATTTCATACACAATCCAAAAGACTATAAATACAGGATGATGATTTCATTGTGAATATTTTGAGCACACACTCTAAGTTTGGAGCTATTTCTTGATGGAAGAGAGAGAATTTTATTTTCAGGCTGAACCTACTGGCAACTACATTTGACATTTATGGAGCAGGGACCCAGAGAGGAAGGAGTATAAGGTAGTGGCCAACATGTTTTTAGGGCAAGTTTGGAAACGCCACCAGATTCTCAGCTTGGTGAACCTGGACAGGTTTCCCAGGGGTTGCTTTTTGATGGGTTCCTTATCCCCATTTGAAAGTGGGGTGCATTCTCCAGCCTTGGATCTAAGGAGCAGAACTAACCCGGGACAGCATGCTTTCCTCAAGAGAAGGAAACTGAGGCCGCAGTTGCATGAGCTGGTGAAGGAAGGCTTTCTACTTTTACCTTCTTAAAGAGCAAGAAGCTGGGATGGGATGGGTACTAACACCAGGCTAATGCTCTGTTGTCATGCAGCTTCTCTGATGTGACAAACCACTTCCTTTTCCAGAACTCCATCATGGAAATCCAGGACTGGCAGAATACTGGCTTCCATTACCTCCCCCTCGCTTCATTGCTATGTAGTGAATGGGGTTCAGCTGTGGCATGTAGAATGAGTTGTGGGGTCCAGGTACACCCCTCCTGAGCTTCCCAACATACTGATGCTTACCCTCAAACATTTTAATTGATTGCAAAACAACTGCCCAAATTGATTCCTAGTTTTTGCAAAACATTGGGAAATGTGCTATTTTTTTTTGCTTTGTGTACACCAAATCCTTGCATCCTTAATAATTCACAATATTATGAATGGTGACTATGGTAATCACACATAAAAATTAAAACATGCCTGCCATTCCACCTTAAGAATTGTAAAATAAGGTTTAATGTTTGTGGCAACAACCCTCCTAAGAATCACAACCAACTGGCCGGGCGGTGGTGGCGCACGCCTTTAATCCCAGCACTCGGGAGGCAGAGCCAGGCGGATCTCTGTGAGTTCGAGGCCAGCCTGGACTACCAAGTGAGTTCCAGGAAAGGCGCAAAGCTACACAGAGAAACCCTGTCTCGAAAAACCAAAAAAAAAAAAAAAAAAAAAAAAAAAAAGAATCACAACCAACATCTTTCATAACTTCTTCCCCTAAGAGCTTCAGAGCAGGTTGATGCTATTGTGAAACCTTCACAGAGAGGCTCCTGGGCCTCACCTCTTTCCTTTCCTCCCTTACATCAAATTGAACTCTGCCTGTAAGTCTTTCTAAAGGCAAATCTTTATCCACATTGCAATGAAGAAAATGTGTGTGCGTGCGGCTGTGGGTTTTGTGACTGGTTGTCTTGGGACTTTGAATCTGACCCACTTCCTCCACCTTTTCCTGAGCCGTGTCTTCTTGTTGGCCAGCAAGGTAGTCACTTGGCCTTGTGTTCTCAACTTGGCTTCTGCCGCTGAGAAGTTGGCTGGGATTTTAGGCTCTCTTGGGCTCTCTGCATAACTCCTAACAGCTCTTCCAGATGTGGGTGTCAAAGCATCTAGGGAGAACTTCAGAATGCAAGCCTGCATCTTCTCTATTGTAAGCTTCATTGTTCCAATCAACTTCATTCCAGATTTGAATTCTAAACACCCCCCGCCCTGGTCTTGTCATGCCTCCATAGAAAAATATCCTTACAGGAAGAAGGATCATAGCTTTTCTTCAGCAGGGTACCATCCCGTGTTATCGATGATCTTTAAATCCCTTGGTGAATAAGTGCAAATGTTAAAAGTGGGAAAACTTAGGCACACTATAAAGGTACCATTGGTGCCAGTTCTAATCAGGAAGGAAAAAACAACTAGAAAATCTTCGCATTCTCAGATAAAAACCGTGACAATTGTATTCATACAGGGTTGCCCATAAACAACTGCTGCACACTCCGCGGGCATCCCTCCCTCTAAGGAGGAAATATCTAGTAGTTTTTTTTCCATTCCCATAGCAGGGTACTGAATAGAAACACAGCTAATTTATAAGAAATTGATAATGCCACCAAAACATGGTGTCAAAAGCGGGGGTCAACAACGTAAAAGTGGAACTTCTTTTTAATCACCCGCCAAAAAAAAAAAGTCTGTACCTTTAAGTGTGCCAAAAACTATCTCAAATGGTTGCAGCCAAACAAATGATTGTCATATTTATATTCATGTGTTTACTGCTTCTATTTGGAGTTTGAGGAATTTACCCAGAGTAACCCCAGTTAAAATGTCCTCTCTTGTGTGTTCTAAAAAAAAAAAGTCACTTTGGGATGGTCTCTCTATGACATGAAATCAATGGGGCATTATGGTAGGCGACTTTGAGACTAGTGTGAGATTCAGACACTGTGTATGAAGAGGGACCTTGGATCTCTTTACTCAAAAATTTGTCCAGGGCATCAGAGATGTTGTCACTCAGTGGGTGGGGTGCTTGCTTGCCATACACACCCCAGCAGCACCTAAAACCAAGAGTGGTGACTCATGGCTGTAAACTCAGCATTCAGGAGGTACAAACAGGAGGACCAAGAGTTCAAGGTCAACCTTGAATACTTAGTAAGTTTAAGCAAGCCTAGACTACTTAAGACTCTGTCTCAAAAAAAAAAAGAAAGAAAATTCTAGGTTATACCACTGCAAGAAAAGTTCTTCCCCTTGTCATAGTTTCATCCAAGACTGCTTCTGCATGGCATCACTCTGCATGCGACACACTTTGCAAGGCACTGAGGCTCCTGACTCTCATCACTGACTTGGATTGGTCCATTTAAGATAGACAGTGATAGGCAGCTGAGTTATAGGCACTTTCTTACTGCGCTTCTGTTAGCACTATTGCACATCATGGATCAGTGGCTGTGATCCTCTAGAAACTCTCCCATTACCATTTCTAAAGTGAAACTCTGATGGTTGAGAAAGGCTAAGGACTTGCCCATGGGCAAGAAGGAACTGTGGCTCAAAACTGAGTTTCCCCCTAGGTATTCATGTTCTGTGTGATACCTCTGTTTCACACACTGGGACAGGGGAGTTTGAACTGAATATTCTCAGGAGACCATTTCATGCCCAAACTTTAATTTATTCCCTTGGGGTTTTTCTACATATTAATCTTAGCAAACACACCACCAAACCTTGTGTCTACAATTCCAACCACTAGAGAGCATTCCCCTCTCCAGGACATAGTACTCCCAGCTATGACTAAAGCCTTGCATAGAGGACAGGTTTACTAAACCAGGACAAGATGAGCGTATAACAGAACATGGAAGAATTGGTCAAGAATAAAAAAGGCCAGTGATAGATGGGACACTTCCTGGGTGGTGTGTGGAAGTCATGAATGGCCAATCATGGTTAACATGGACACTTAAGAGGTATGCCTCTTCAAAAATATATATCAACAGATAAAACACTTGTTCTTGCTCCCCTCAGTTCCAACCTTTATTTTACAAGTTATCAAAAAAGAACGAGGCTAGAGACATCCCACCAGGAATTGCAGAGCCCATACTAGGCACGTGATTTTCCTGGATGCCACTCAGAATGCTGGTCTCCGGGTAGACAGAGACCATGGCAGTTTTGGAAGACAGGCCATTGGCAGACAGCTGTGCATCCTAGCTTGCTTCCTTTTCTGTATGAACCATCATGAAGCCCTTTCAGCCCAGTGTGTTTAGGGGTGAAAGCCTGGGAGTGAAGCTATTTTAGGAACCATTTTCTTGAGCAGGTAATAATTCATGTGTTAATCACAATTCCTTAAACACCACTAACAAACATTCCTAATTGCTTCTGGGGATATCTCTGTCCCCATCCTCTTGCCAAAATATGATGCTGCCTCTCCGATGGATGCTTGCTGACTTAATTAAGGGAAGAGATTGGCTCATCAGCAAAGGGAAAAGCAAACAGGTGGAAAGCAGGCAGATATGGAAACCAGGGCATCGAGAGAAGACAGAGGGAGCAGATGTACAGGCATCAGAGATGCTCACTGGTCACTCTGGTCTCTTTTTTACACTACCAGGACTTTTAACCGTGAAACCACCTGTATATGCACAGCTCCGAAAGAGCCCAGTTGGATCACTGCACCTGCCCTGGGCCTCCAAACTATGCTGAGGAGTTGGACTGAGGCCACGTCTTCCAAAAACCATGGCAACAGTGGCCTCTGGCCCTCCAAGTTCCCTGCAAGATGAATAAGTGGACATGACCGCTGTGGGGGGCTGGGCCAGGAAGCGAGTTAAGATTTCAGTATGTGAAGACGGCCCCTGGCCAAAGGTGCCATTCATTGACAGGATCTCATTCATGTTTCCCAGACCCTATGGCTGAGAGTGAGCTGAGAAAGAGCCTTCCCTGCTCTCTGCAGAATGTCATGTTTCAAACAGCCACTGCTGAACCTACAAAGGCTGTAGGGATGGCAGGGAGCATTGAGGGAGGAGATTGACCATAGCCTCAGCTCACAGCTGGGAGGGTTAGTCATGCTTTGCCACAGCTGATGAGAAAGGAACTGTCCTGAAACTGGTGGCTTGTTCAGGAAGGCAAAATAATGACCTTTTCTTCCGTGTGGCTTGGGAGTTACTGCCACGCTGTCCCATTGTAAGCTGGGGTTGATGATTGTTGAGCCACGAAAAATGCAGACTTAATTAGGTGGGGGAAAAAAATCTTAGCACAACTTAGCACTGCACTTAGAGAAAAAACACAATGAACATCCTGGTCTATGAAATAGGCTGAATAAAATAAGTGTATTTGAATGTCATAGAGAAGCAGCTAAGACAGAAATTCCTACATGAATTTGATGTTTCCATATATACATATATATGGATATGTGTATCACTACATACTTACCAAACCTTTCTCAGGTCATCCTTGTGTGGGATAAGGAAAAGGAAGGAGTTTTTATCTACATTTGGCATGTGAAGAAATAGAAGTCATGAGTTAAGAACTTCTTTGAATACCCTCATATCCAACCTTCTTCACGATGCTTCCATGTTCCCAGGGTCCGCCATGTATTTTGACTCTCTGATTTTCGTAGTCCAGTTCTTCAGTTCCAGCATGTAACTGCAGCTCTGTCCACACTTCTGCCCTCCTGTTCTGGCCAACAATTGGGAAGAACTTGTAGCACATGGCCACAAGTTCTTGTTTCCTTGGCTAGCAGACAGGCACGTGTCATTCTGTTCTTTCTCCACAGACAAGCTGCTACAGACCCAGGGAACTAGCCAGGGACAGAAGGCTGCTGCTCTGCCCAATGGGGTGACATGTAAGGCAAAGCCAGCTGTGACTGTCACCCTAAGGTCCTCAGGAACAGAAAGGTCCCAAAGGGAACCTGTGGGTCATTGGGCACATTCTGATTAGCAATCCCAGATGGCCTCTCTTCACTGTGCCAGCCTGGCATGAAGCCAAAGGGAGGTAGAGACAGTCCTCAGTGTACGAGCCGGCAGGATTCTGAGTTGAGGTGTCCAGAAGTCAATTGCGTGTTTTTCCAAGAGGCATTGTTATAAATGGGGAGGTGTTCGTAGAGGAACCAAAAATAAATAAATAAATGTCTGTTTAATGTATACCAGGAGTTGGCAAACTTTTTCTGTAAATGGCTAGATGGTTAACATTTCAGTCATGATGGACTATGAGTTCTCTGCTTGGGCTCTTTGGTGGGAGGCTATGGGCAGACTTTCAAAACTGTGGATCCATTTGTAGCCCAAAAGACAGCAAGGTGTGGACCAGGTTTAACCCATGGGCCCAATTTTCCATCCATGTTCTACACCATCACTAGCTTGTGGTACAGAGCCAAATCTACTGAAATGTGGCTATAGGTCATCAGCATGCTTATAAAAAATAGGTCACTGGTGTATCTCCCCTGGACTAAGCCAACATTCACAAACTGTGTGAGGTGTTACATAAAGCGATAAGTCACATCTTCATCATTTCCAGGCAGGTGGTAGGAGCAGAGGGAGGCCCATGCCACTCCCCCCATTGTGTCCTATGGGCAGGTAGGTCAACAGAAGCCACGGTGACTCCAGGGGACTTCCAGGCTTAGAAGACAATTTCCCCTACAACATCTGTCTAACTCAGAGCAGTCACTTGCCCAAGGCTGTCCTGAAATTTCTCCCAGGTCC